GGTTATTGGTCCAGTTGTGAGGATTTTTGTTTTCTTTATATTGAGGTGCAATCCATACTGCAGACTGTAGTCTTCAATCTTCATCAGTAAGTGCTTCAAGTCATTTTCACTTTCAGCAAGCAAAGTTGTGTCATCTGCGTATCTCAGGTTGTTAATAAGCATTCCTCCAATCCCAGTGCCAAGTTCTTCTTCATATAGTCCAGCTTCTCAGCTTATTTGCTCAGCATGCAGACTGAGCAAGTATGGTGAAAGGATACAACCCTGCCACACTCCCTTCCTGATTTTAAACCATGCAGTATCCCCTTGTTCTGTTCGAATAACAGCCTCCAGGTCTATGTACAGGTTCCTCATGAGTACAATTAAGTGTTCTGGAAGTCCCATTCTTCTCAATGTTATCCACAATTTGTTATGATCCATACAATCGAATGTCTTTGCATGGTCAAGAAAACATGTTTCTGGTATTCTTTGCTTTGAGCCAAGATCCATCTGACATCAACTATGATATCCCTCACTCCATGTCCCCTTCTGAATCCAGCTTGCATTTCTGGAAGTTCTCTGTCAATATACTGTGGCAACTGTTTTTTTAATTCTCTTCAGTAAGATTTTACTTCCGTGTGATATCAGTGATATTGTTCAACAATTTCCACATTCTGTGAGATCACCTTTCTTTGGAATGGGTACAAATATGGATCTCTTCCAGTCAGTTGGCCAGGTAGCTGTCTTCCAAATCTCTTGGCGTAGCCGAGTGAGAGCCTCCAGCACAGCATCCATTTGTTGAAATATCCAATGGATATTCCGTCAATTCTCAGAGCCTTGTTTTTCCTTCGGGCAGCTTCGACTTCTTCCTTCAATACCATTGGTTCTTGGTTATATGCCACTTTCTGAAGTGGATGATTATCTACCAATTCTTCTTGGTGAATTTCTTTCTGAAATGGATGATTATCTACCAATTCTTATTCTATAGTGACTGTATATTCCATCTTCTTTCGATATTTCCTGCATCAGTCAACATATTGCCCATGGAATCTTTTAATATTGCAATTCAAGGCTTAAATTTTTTCCTCA